TGGTTTTTGTGGTCTGATTGAGCAAAATTTAAATAAAATTGTGCTATAAGAAATACCCCTAACTTCTTTAAAAGGACTGAAATAGTAAGAAATGAATAGAGGCCTTTGAACTGCCAAACACCTACAAATAGAAAGCAGGCTAGAATAAAACAGCTGCAGCCATGGGATGCTTTTCATGGTGAAGGAAGGATGATTGAGAAGTCAGAGTTGAGAATAGAAAGTAGAGTCAAGAACCTTGGAGAATTATTCTCTGGTCTTGAGTCCTAATCAGAGAACTGCCAACAATGCCAAATAGATTTCAGAATTTCATTTGACTGCCTTATGCTTCTTGCCTTCCACTTATTTCACCGAGAGTATGTGTAGTGGTTAGTTTATGCATATCCCACTACTTTGTGTTAGGTTTGTGAGGATCCTGAGTGGAAGATGGTAGATTTCAAGTCCCTTTGGATCACACGTCTTCTTTTCTAGAGTAATTGTACTCTAAGAGGTAATCTCTAGAAACTAGACCACAAGAGGCTAATTGACACCTGGACCTGATTTAGATGACAAGACCCTGGACTTTGAGCTGATGCTATAAATAGTTGAGACATTCGTAGCACTGAGAGCAGGTGAAGGTGTTTTTATGTGAGAACAAAATGAGTCATTGGAGGCAGAGGGTGGACTGTGGTTGCTGGCAGCCTTCATGATGGCCCCCGGGGATCCTCACTGATATTCACATTTTTGTACAGTCCCCTTCTGCAGTGAATAGGCTGACGTTGTAACCTGTATAATACTGTGCAAGTGAAGTATGGGACTTCCAAGGCTGGATCATAGAAGTCATTTAGGCTTGGTTGTGAATTGCTTGCTCTGAAGATAGCACCATGCCATTCAAGCTGCTCATATGGACAAGAACTGAATTTTCCCCAGACAATCAGTATGAACTTGAGTAGGCCTGCTAGGAAGTGGATACCCTGATCTTGGTCAGGTCTTCAGATGACCTTAGCCCAGGTTGTCACTTGATTGCAGCCTCAGAAAGACCCTGAACCAGTTTCGCCCAATTAATCTACTACATGACCATGCTTTTGCAGGTGGGCCCAGTCAAAGCAATAAATATACTAGTGAGAGGAATACCAGCCGCACTAATAAGGGCTGGCAGTAGGAGATACCTTAACAGAAATGGACTCACTAGTAGCAGTGGAGGTAACATGAGTCCAACATAACAGAGGATAGGTGGTGACACAGGTGGGAACAATTTTTCTAATAAAGTGTCAAGTATGGAGTGGCAGTCTGGGACACCTGGTCCACAAATGATGGTTAACAGAACATAGCTCTCTTGAGGCAAGATGGGAGGATAGCTAGTGAGGATATTGCCCAACCTGTCCTACCAGAAGAAATAAAAGTTGTATCATCAGGAGCTAAGATAGCACCCGATATATAAATTCAGGGTGGTCTCCACAGTTTCCAGTGTTCAGAGCTCACACTCACTGACTGAAGGAGGGTCTGGATTGGCTAGGTAGAAGTGCTCTGCAACATCACAGCAAATGTACATGATAACGATTACCCAAGTCCTACAAAGGGACTTCTAGCAATTTACTTGGGTAACCATACTTGGAGATCCGAAGTACCATATCGATCCTGTTGTTAGAGCGAGGCTATGTGCAGGCTAGGTAATAAATGTAATCTTGGCTTTTGATGACTTACAGTAGGTACACTGGGACTACAGTACCATCTAGTGGACATTTCTATAGTTGCCAAATGTATAATTAGAAATGACATACCTGACGATGTAAAAACCCGTATCTTGATTCTTTGGCCTCTGGGGATGACTGTCCTATTAGAAAAGCCAGGGGGAATCCTTTGAATCCTCCTTCTCCCAGTGGCCAAGATGGTAAATCGAAAGCAATATCACATTCTTGGGAAAGTGGCATAGATGCAAGCAGCATGAGTAGCAATTCCCCTTAACCCCATTTAACCCTCCACTCTGGTCCTTGCAAACCTGCAGAATGACAGTGGATCTACCACAAATTCAAATCGTTCACCTATTTGCCGCTTTTGTGTCAAGTGTGGTAATTTTCACTTGTGGTAAATTAACACAGCCTGAGAACATGATATAGGGCCACTGATCTCGCAAACTTATTTTTCCTGTACCATCAAAATGGGGATCAGAGATCTTTGTATTCATTTGAGTGGACAGCAACAGTATATATTTATTTGTCCAGGGCTATAGGCTCTTCAGCTCTCTGTCCTAATATAATCTGAAGGGAACTGGATTAGCTATACATTTTGCAGAGCATCACTCTGGCCCACTATATTGATAACTGGATCAGATAAGCAAGAAATGGCAAGTTTCTTGAAGGCCTTGGTCAGACATGTATTCTCAGGAGGGGACAGATAAAGCCTATAAAGATTCAGAGGCTCACTACATTGGTAAAATTTTTAGGAGTTAGTGATCTGGTATCTGCCAGTAATTCTTCCCAAAGTAAAGAATAATTTAGTGTATTATATACCTCCCATCATGAAAAAGGAAAATAGTGCCTGCTGGCTACTTCAGGTTTTGAAGCCAATATATTCTGTACCTGAGAATACTGTTTTTCTCCTACTCCCAACTTTGAGTGGAGTCTGGAGCGGGAAAGGACACTGCAGCAGGATGTAGTAGAAGCACGCCTGCTGCTTGGTCATCCCAACTCAGCAGACTTTATGGTATTTGTGGGTGTCATACTGGGAAAGCATATCATGTTGATTTTATGGTAAGCCTCAGTGGGCATCTAGTGTTCTGGATCAAGGCCATGCCATCAGCAACTGAAAGAATTATATTTTTCAAAAAACAGTTCTGGCATGCTGTTGAGCCTTGGTAGAGATGAAGCAACTGATCATGGGATACCAAATAACTGTGTCCAGCAATGGCCATCATGAACTGGGTTCCATCATAAGCTGAACCATCATATCAGTAGGGAGAGGCAAGACCAACAGCTACCCATCATAAGATGGAAGTGGTATATCAAAGATTGAACATGAGCAGAATCAGTGGACATCAGCAGTCTTTGTGAGCAGGGGATCTAAATCTTGATGTCATCCACGACTATTACTTTAGTACTTCTCCCTCTGTTCACACACGTGGCCATTCTGAGATGTATTAACCAACTCACACAGGAGGAAAAAGTTCCAAGGTTGCTTCACAGGTAGCTCAGCTTGGTACATGGGTGAAGGGAGCTACACTGAAGCCCCAAATAGGAATAACCTTGAAAGACAAAAGGGGAAAGAAATCCTCCTAAAGGACAGAACTTCAGGCTATTTTCCTGGTCCTCCACTTTGTGTCACAGGATTGACCCAAAACCACTGAACTGGGCGGTGGTGAATGATCTGGCAAATTAAGGGCCTACAGTGAGAAAGACTACACAAGAAATTCTAGGTTAGAGGCACATGGATGGAACTATAGGAATGAGAAAGTGGGAAGATCTTTGTAATGCATGTTAACATCCACCAGAGACCACATATCACAGAAGTACTACTAAATAACCATGTAGACAAATTGACTCGGGTGACATTAACCAGCCTCTGCCATCAGTAATCATACAAGGGGTACAGGAATAGAAATCTGCAGTGGCAGGAGTATAAGAAAAACTGAAATATGGGCCCTCACTCCCTAAGTTAACCTTGCTATTCTTTTTTTAAAGATTTTATTTAGTAATTTATTTGACAGAGACAGCGAGAGAAGGAACATAAGCAGGGGGGGTAGGAGAGGGAGAAGCAGGCTTCCCATGGAGCAAGGAGCCCGATGTGGGGCTTGATCCCAGGACCCTGGGATCATGACCTGAGCTAAAGGCAGATGCTTAATGACTGAGCCACCCAGGTGCCCCGAACCTTGCTGTTCTTATTGCCACATTTCTAGCATCTCCTCAACAAAGCTCACTTCTGAGGACCATTCCAAAAGGAGATCAGACATCTACTTGGTGTCTAGATGAGGTGTCTAGATGAGTACATTGGACCTCTTTCACACTGAAAGGTGCTTCATCTTATAGGAATCAACCCTTACTCTAGGCACGTTTTTGCCTATAGAGTCTCAGGCAAGATGACATCCCAGAGCTTGGTTTGGTCCACCAGTCTGGGATTCTACGTACTGTCACATCAAAGAATCCCACTTTCCAGCAAAGGAGGTACAGCAGTGAGCTCACAACACTGGGATGCACTGGTCTATTATATATATTCAGAAATCCCCATCTGAAGAGAATGTTGAAATAGCCTGCTGAAGGCATATTTGGGGCAACTGCATAAAGATGTTAACTTGTGGAAATGAGTTCCCATCCTTCCGGATGTAGTATTCACGCTATAGCAAAGACCATTATGTAGTGCTATGTTGCCCAGAGGTAGGAGACATGGTTAGAAACCCGAGGGGTAGAAGCAGGAGTGGTCCTAGTTGCTAGAACTTCTAGTGATCCACTTGAGCAGTTGGTGCTTCCTGTCATCGCAACCATGGCCTCTGATCCCCAAGAGGAAGATACACTGAGAGTTCCTTTGGTTTTTGTTTGTTTTGTTTTTTAAGATTTTTATTTATTTATTTGAGAGGGAGTGTGAGCAAAAGAGAGGACAAGCCGGTGGGAGAGGGAGAGGGAGAAGCAAGACTCCCCGCTGAGGAGGGAGCCTGATGTGGGACTCAATCCCAGGACCCTGGGATCATGACCTGAGGCTGAAGGCAGATGCTTAACCTACTGAGCTACCCAGACGCCCCCTCAAGAGTTCCTTTGAACTATGAACTGGTTACTGCCAAGGCACTTAAAACCTTTTATGCCAAGAGACCAACAGACAAGAAGAGGATCACATTTATCACATTTCTGGCAAAGGGTGATTGACTCTAAACACCAGTAAGTAGGGTTGTTAGCTATTACACAGAACAGGGAGGAATATATTTGGTACTCACATGTTCCACTTGTATGTCTTTGTACTCTCCTACTCAATTTGATAGTAAATGAAGAAATACAGCAGTCATGGCCTGAGGAGTACACAGTAACTTAGATCATGAGCAGTGCTAGCCAAAGATGAGAGTAATCTAGAATGGATAGTAAATTATGAAGATAATATCAGTTGCAGTGTTAAGGTCAGGGGCACATAAGTTCCCCTGATGAAAAGAGTTTCACTGGAGTCCTGGAGTAGCTGCTACCAGAACTTGGTGAAGGAAGAGAATTCAGTGCAAGGAGTGGACCGGATAATATACTACACTCCCAGATGATACCCTCTGGACTGAAAGACTTGTTACCAGCTGTGGAAAAGAGCGTCATGTCACTGACAGCTTCAGTTAACAGCTCTCAGTGTCACCTTGTTTGAATATCTTTGGTGATAGAAGGTCACCTCACCTAAGCTCTTGCTCCTTGTCTTGGGGAAACCCAAATCCAATGACTATTCAATGTGGGGACACATAAGGACCCTGTCTCTCAACTTGGGATAACTTTAAATAGCCTTTCTAGCCTAAAAGCTCCTCATGGGATCACCTGAGGCCTTAGAGATACTGAACTGTATTTTGTCTTCATCCTCTGTGCAGTTGCCATTCCAGCTCTCTCCTATACAGGTTTTGATCTTGAGAGCACTCCTTAATAAACTTACTACATTCTAATCTTCTAATCAAGGTTCCTTGGAACCTGGCTTGTAACAATGACATTAGAGCTGAGACTGGAATGATGAGAATGGGACTGATAGATGAAAAACTAGGTACAGATAATTCAAACAGAAAATTCAAAGCTCTGAGATGGAAAGGAGCTTCATTTGTTGAGGAACACAGATGAGATTAAAGTTGGAGTGAAGAAAGCAAAGAGAAAGAATGACATGAAATGAATTTGGTGGTATAGTCATAGTATAAACCACACAGGGGGCCTTGAAGGCCATAATAAAGCTTGAATTCCATTTTTTTAATATTAGGAAATAATTATCAGCCTTTATTATTTTTTCTCCCAAGTTTTTATTTAAATTCCAGTTAGTTAACATACAGTGTAACATTAGTTTCAGATGTAGAATTTAGTGATTTATCACTTAACATACAACACCCAGTGCTCATAACAAGTGCCCTCCTGAATATCCATCACCCATTTAACCTATCCCCCCACCTACCTCCCCTCCTGTGACCATGTTTGTTCTCCATAGTTTGTTTGTAGTTGCCTTTTTGCCTGCCTATTTGCATTTTTAAATAGTTTGTTTCTTATTTGCTTCTCTTTTTCCCCCCTGTATTCATTTGTTTCTTAAATTCTAAATGTCTTTCTCTGGCCACTTTCCTTAGCATTACACTCTCTAGCTCCATCCACATCATTGCCTCACACCAGTCAGAATGGCTAAAATTAACACAGAAGGCAACAGGTGTTGGTGAGGATGTGGAGAAAGGGGAGCCCTCTTACACCATTGGCGGGAATGCAAATGGGTGCAGTCACTCTGGAAGACAATTTAGAGGTTCTTCAGAAAGTTAAAAATAGAACTACCCTATGATACACCAATTGCACGACTAGGTATTTACCCAAAGAATATAAAAATACTAATCTGGAGGGATACATGCACCCCAATGTTTATAGCCAAATTATGGAAGGAACCCAAACGTACATCAACCAGTATTGACCTTTATTAAGTAGAGAGACATGATCTAATTTATTTTTCTATGAGAACACTCTGGCTGCTGTGAGGATTATGAGTGGAAGAAAGAAGACAAATTGGTGGCTTTTATAATAGCTTGGCTAAAATGTGGCAGTGTGGACTAGTCTTGTGGAGATAGAAGTATAGAGATTCAGAATATATCTGGGGTTAGAGCTGAAAAGATTTGTTGTCTGGTTGGATGTAAAATTGAAGGAAAAGGAGGAAACTAAAGTAGTTCGTTTTGTGCCTTGAGCAATGGATGGTTGGTGGAGCAATTTATGGATATTGGAGACATTGGGGGAGAATTTGAGGTTTGCTTGGTTAGTTGGTTTTAAAGTGAAACTTTGAGAAATTAAGAGCTTCATTTTGGATGTAAAACTTTACACACTTATCTGAGTAGAGATTTCAAATAAGCAGTTCATGAGCCTGATGCTTTGGTCTAGGGAAAAGAGAGGATGAGGACACCTAGGGAGAAAACATTTATTGCCATTTGGAGTAAAAGAGAAATAGCTTTTTTTGTTCCACAAGATTTGGTTGTGGTATTGCTTTATTCACCATCAGTGGGTTATACTGGAAGGAATATATGTTTAAAGTCTGAATGAAATGGGCTTGAATCCCAACTTTTTTATTTAGATATTGTAAAGTATTTTTACTTCATTTTCATTAAAAATTTAACCAAAATCTTTTTATTAGTTACATAGTGCCTGTGTCTCCTCCAGATAAGCAAATGTTTATATATCATCTCTCCTTAAAGGCATCTATTTTTTCTTAAATTTAAGGCTAATTGGTTGCCTGGAAAAGTCACTTCTCTGATGAGTTCAAGAAAATTTACGATTTTTTAGATTATTTAAACAAGTTTCTTGTTTTCTAGAGTGAGAGTGATGCTTTTTCCATATTTTTGCATCTTTTTAAAAAGAATTTTATTTATTTATTTGAGAGAGTGTGTGAGCAGAAGAGGGAGAGAGACTCTGAAGTAGACTCTGTGCCCAATGCACAGGGCTTGAGCTCATGACCAGGAGATCATGACCTGAGGTGAAACCAAGAGTTGGATGCCTAACCAACTGAGCCACTCAGGCACCCCTCCATATTTTTGCGTCTTAAGCAGGAGCACTGCTAAACTACACATAAGAAATTTGAGATGCCTATAAAACATCTACATCTTAGATGTTCTATCCAGGTTTTGTATTGGCAGTTCTTCAAACCAGGACAAATGCATGGACTGAAGAAGATTATGGCATTATCAGCTTTAAGATGTTAATTGAATCAAGGCATAAATGGATATTACTGAGGGGATGTTTATAGATTTACTGTGAAATTTTACAGCTCATGTTATGCCTTCAGATATTTTTTTTCCAGTCACATTTTTATCCTTCTTAATTTTGGATTTTTTTCCTCATGAGATTGATTATGTGGTATGGTTTCTTGTATAGATACTTGATATGAGTGCTTGTCTTTCCAAAGTAATAGTGATAAAGTTAATATTTGTGGGTTTTCCTCAACAGGAAGTCCGAGTGCCAAATACTACCAAGATAGCTGTAAAAGACCTGTCTTTGAATTTATATGTGGGGCAGATCACTGTTCTTCTAGGACCCAATGGGGCAGGAAAATCCACTACTCTATCTATTCTCTCAGGTAAGTGATATCTGTCCAGAGTATCCTCACATAGACACTGTAGGTCAAGCCTACAAGACTTTTGTGTATTCTTTTGATATTTACAATTTAGCCAGTTCAGTGATACATAAAATTGTTCAGTAATCTTTCTTTTTAAATTGTAAATAATTTCATGTGAGAGATAGCAGATAACAGGTTTTACAAAGATTTTACAAAGTGACCATTATAAACATTCTCAAAGAACTAAAGGAAACCATGATTAAAGAAGTAATGGAATGTATGAAAAGAGTATCAAATAGAAAATACCAATGAAAAGATAGAAATTATAAAAAGAAGAACCAGGTGGGAATTCTGGAGTTGAAAAGTACAATAAGCAAAGTGAAAAATTCATTAAAGGGGCTCAACAGTAGATTTCGTGAATTGTCACAAGAGAACACTCGTGAACTTGAAGATAGATTGATAGAGATTTTAAAATGTGAATAAAACAAAGGAAAAAGAATGAAGGAAAATTAAGTTTCATAGCAATTTTTGATACCTTTAAATGCACCAGCATAGGGCGCCTGGGTGGCTCAGATGGTTAAGCGTCTGCCTTCGGCTCAGGTCATGATGATCCTGGGATCGAGTCCCGCATCGGGCTCCCTGCTCCTTGGGAGCCTGCTTCTCCCTCTGCCTCTCTCTCTCTCTCTCTGTCTCTCATGAATAAATAAATAAAATCTTTAAAAAAAATAAATAAATAAATAAATAAATAAATAAATAAATAAATAAATGCACCAGCATACATGTATTGGAATGTAGGAGAGGAGAAAGAGAACAAAGCCAAAAAGGTATTCTACAAAATAATGGCTGAAAACATTAATCTACACATTCAAGAAGCTCCAAAAACTTCAAATAGGATACATGTGAAGAGATCATCACCCATAAATATTATAGTAAAAATTATTAAGGAGAAAATCTTGAAAGCAGGAAGCCAAAAATACTTTGTCACATTCAGTTGCACCCCAATAGGACCAGAAGCTGACTTCTAATTAGAAATAATGGGGGCCAGAAAGCAACGGGATGATATTTAATAAAAAGTATTGAAAATTTGAAATGATCAGTTACTAGTAATGAAATTGCATCAGTAATGAAAAAGCTGCCAATGACCAAAGTCCAGGAACAGATGTCTTCACAGGTGAATTTTATCAAACATTTAAAAGATTTAATGCTCATTCTTCTCGAAGTATTCCAAAAAAGAGAAGAGGAAGGAAAACTTCCAAATTCATTCTACAAGGTCAGCATTACCCTGATACCAAATCAAGCACCCTGCGTAAAACTACAGGTCAATATTTCTGATGAACATATATGTAAATCTCCTCAACAAAATGTTAGCGAAACAAATTCAACAATACATTAAAAGGATTCATCATGACCATGTTGGATTTATGCCACAGATACAAGTGTGGTTCAATATTGGCAAATCAATCAATGTGGTACATCACATTAACAAGAGGAAGGAAAAAAAAACCTATGATCATCTCGGTAGATGCAGAAAAAAAAACATTTGACAAAATACAACATCCATTCTTGATTAAAAACTCTCAATGTATGTTTGGAGGGAACTCCAAAAGTATGTTTGGAGGGAACATATTTCAATATAATTAAGGCCATATATGATAAACCTACAGCTAAAATCATACTCAATGGTGAAAAGCTGAAATCTTTTAAGATCAGGAACAAGACAAAGATGTTTACTCCCCCCACTTTCATTCATCATAATAGTAGAAGTCCTAGTCACAGCCAACAGACAAGAAAAAGAAATAAAAGGCATTTAAATTGGTAAGGAAGACAATACTGTCACTATTTGCAGATGATATATGTAGAAAATGCTAAAGAAACCACCAAAAAACTACTAGAACTAATAAATGAATTCCATTAAGTTGTAGAACACAATATGCAGGGTAGTTTGGGAAGATGGCAGAGTAGGAGGACCCTGAGCTTATCCCATTCCATATTTACACCTAGATATCATCTATATCCAAATAAGTAAACTGGAGAGTGATCCAAAGACTAGCAGAATAAACTCTACAACTAAATATAGACAAGAAACTGCATCTGAAAGATTAGAAAGGTCAGAAAGGCAGAGGGAGGCTGCCTTCGGGAGGGAGGGAGTTGTACACAGAAAGGGCAGAGAAGTGGATCTTCGCACCAGGGAGCTCACATGGGGAAGACTGATCCCCATAATTTTTGGCTTTGAAAATCAGAGGAGCTCAATTCTGTGAATTTGTATAACCAGTAGAACTTAGAGCCTGGAGTTTTAAAAGTCAGCTGATTCGGCACTGGACAAGCAGGGAAGGCTGGTGATAGCTGGGTCCCTGCCCTTGAAGAAACAGCAGCCTGCACAGAGAGGCAACATAAAAACAGCAGTTTACACAATGCCAGGGGCAAATGGGAGACAAATCTGTTCATAGTGATTTCAGAGCATGTTCGGGGATTCTCCAAAACTGAGGGAGTTGGCAGGCATCATTTCCCCCTTTCTCACTCCCACCCCCCAATTTCCTGGTCCCAGCATAAACACAGGGCCATCTGCAGGCAGCAGGACTGCACATACACTTGCTACCTAACCTGCTAGTAGTGCACAATGCCCATGAGTTCTCCTGAGGACTCACCCACTTTAAGCCTGCTAGCCTCAGTCCTGGGCTCAGGACAAATTTTCTTAAAGCCACACATGCACCCTGTCCTGCCATCGTGTGCCCTGTACGTCTGATGTGCTGCAACCAGCCATCCTTGTGCACCAAGCCCAGTCTCTGGCCCTCAGCCACTGCGCCCTTCAGGGGATCCAGCATAAGACTAGTGGCCCAGAGCAAATTTGCTAACACTGCCACCACACTCCCAAGTTCCCCAGCAGGTACACCCCTTCAGAGCTGTCCTGTCTGGGGGTGCCTGGGTGGCTCAGTTAAGCATCTGCCTTCTGCTCAGGTCATGATCCCAGAGTCCTGGGATCAAGCCCCAAGTCGAGCTCCCTGCTCAGCGAGGAGTTTGCTCCCTCTCCCTCTGTCCTGCTCACTTTCTCTCTCTCTCTCTCTCAAATAAATAAAATCTTATAAAAAAAAAAAAAAAGAGCTGGCCTGCCTGGGTCGCACTAACACCACAGAGAACAAGCATTCCCACAAAAGTTGGAGAGTCACTGCAGATGACTTCACTGAGAGGAAACTTGACTCGGACACAACAGCAGGGCATAAACAACACACATTTCTAAAGTGCCAATTTCTGGTGAACAGGGGATGCTGCACTGCAGGGCACTCCAGGACCTCTTCTTCATAAAGTCACTACTTTCAAGAGCTGAAGACATAGCTGACTTTCCTAATACACAGAAACAGACACAGGCAGACAAAATGAGGAGACAGAGAAATTTATCCCAAATGTAAAAACAGGACAAGGCCACAGCCAGGGATCTAAGCAAAACAGATAAAAGCAACATGCCTGATAGAGAATTTAAAGCAGTGATCATAAGGATACTCAGTGGAATAGAGAAAAGAATGGAAGACATGAGTGGGGCCCTTAACACAGAAGTAAGGAACAACATAACAGAGATAAAGTGTTCAATAAACAAAATGAGAAACATGCCTGATGGAATGAATTGCAAGATGGGAGAAGTAGAAGAATGAATTACTGACCTAGAAGGCAGAGTAGTGGAAAGTAATCAAGCTGAACAAAAGAGAGAATAAAGAATTATGCAGAATGAGAATAGACTTAGGGAACTCCGACTCCATCAAATGTAATAACATTCATGTTATAGGAGTCCCGGAAGAAGAGAGAGAAAAGGGGACAGATAATTTATTTGAAGAAATAATGGCTAAAAACATCCCTATCTGGGGAAGGAAACATATCCAGATCCAGGAGGCACATAGAACCCCCATCAAAATCAACAAAAGCAGATCCACACTAAGATATTAATTAAAATTGGCAAAATATAATAATAAAGAAAAAAATTTAAAAGCAGCAAGACAAAAGGAAACTAACTTACAAGGGAAAACCCATAAGACTAGCAGGAGATTTTTCAGCACAAATTTTGCAAACTAGAAGAATGCTGACTGGGAAAAATCTGCAGCCAAGAATACTTCTATCCAGCAAGGCTATCATTCAGAATAGAAGGAGAGAGAAAAAGATTCCCAGACACACAAAAAACTAAAAATTTCATGACCGCTAAACCAACCCAGCAAGAAATATTAAAGGGGACTTTAAAAAGTGGAAAGGAAAGACCAAAAATGACAGTATGAAGGTAGGAAACACAAAGGCAGTAAAAATGAATATTTCTATAAAAAACCAGTCAAGGAACTCACAAAATAAAATAATATAGACTATAACAACATATTCCTAAAACATGGGGAGGAGAGGAAAAAAGAATGGTTTCAAATTTGGACAGTCATCAACTTAATATAAACTGCTATATCAGAAGTGGTTATATACAAGCCTAATGGTAACCATATATCAAAAACCACTCATAAATGTGCAAAGAATAAAGAGAAAGAAATCCATATGTATATCACTGAAAAAATCAGCAAACACAAAAGAGAGACAGACTGAATGGGAGAGTATATTTGCAAATGATATATCCAATAAGGGGTTAATATCCAAAATATGACAAGAACTCCTACAACTCAACACCAAAAAAAGGAAACAATCTGATTAAAAAATGGGCAGAGGACCTAAATATATATTTTTCCAAAGACATATAGATGGCCAATAGACATATGAAAAGATGCTCAAGGGACACCTGGGTGGCTCAGTCAGCTAAGCATCTGCCTTCGGCTCAGGTCATGATCCCAGGGTCCTGGGATTGAGCCCTATGTTGGATTCCCTGCTCAGCAGGGAGTCTGCTTCTCCCATTGCTCCTCATCCCACTCTCATGCTCTCTCTCTCTCTAAAATAAATAAAATCTTTTTTTATAAAAAAAGAGATGCTCAACATCAGTAATTATCAGGTAAATGCAAATCAAAACCACAATGAGATATCACTGCACGCCACTCAGAATGGTTAGTGTC